TTGCCAGAAAGATACCTTTACTGTGCAAATGCCACACAAAATCCTGGCTACAATATGGCCGACAACAGCTTGATATGCCTCACAGCTTCTGGCACACTGTAACCTGGAGTGACAAGACCAGAGGCGGACTGACAACTCATGGGGTCCCCGGGCAATAGGGGATCATGGGGCCCCTGTGTCCTTGCCCAAACTCAAAAACACCTATGAAAAAGGTACCAGGGGCATCTCATGGGGCCCCCTACTGACCCCCGGGCCCTCGAGCAGTGCCCAAGTTTCCGAATGGTCAGTCCGCCCCTGGACAAGACCAAAATAAGGCTTTATGTTCACAACCATAAACGCTATCTTTGGAGAAGGGTCAACAAAGCCGATATCGGCAAGATTACCATTCTCACTGTGAAGCACAATGGTGGCTCACTGATGTTTTGAGGGTGTGTGAACACTAAGTCTTGGGGAATCTTGTGAAAATTAAGGGCAAGATGAATGCAGCATATTATCAGAAAATACTGGCAGAAAATCTGCATTCTTCTACATGACATCTGTGCATGAGATGCTCTTAGACTTTCCAGCACAAGGCCAAGTTGACCCTCCGTGGTTACAGCAGAAAAGGGTAAAGGTTCTGGAGTGGCCTTCACAGTCTCCTGACCTTAAAATCATCGAGCCGCTCTGGGGAGATCTCAAACATGTGGTTCATGCAAGACGACCAAAGACTTTGCATGACCTGGAGGCATTTTGCCAAGACAAACGGGCAGCTATACAACCTGAAAGAATCTGGAGCCTCATAGACAACTATTACAAAAGACTGCACGTTATTCATGCTAAAGGGGGCAATACACAGGCTTAAAAACTAAGGGTACGCAGACTTTTGAACAGGGGTCATTTCATTGGTTTACTTGTTGCCGTGTTTTCTGATTGAGCCATTCTGTTATGACCTACAGTTACAGAATATGAACCCCATAAGAAATAAAAGAAATGTGTTTTGCCCGCTCACTGTTTTCTTTACGGTACATACTGTATATTACCAATTCTCCAAGGGTATGCAAACTTTTGAGCACAACTGTATGGCTGTTTAATATTCATAGAGTAATCCTAGGGTGAATTTCCACTTTGATTTTCTTTTTTTTTTAGATGGTCTTTTTTCTGTGTTTATAACAGTGGTGGTCAGCTCTCCTAAAGTGTGGCCTCCAACATCACCAAAAGTATATAAAGACACATGGGCAGCACAGTGGATAAATTGTTAGCACTTCTGCCTAGGGTCATTGGTTTGAATCCTAACCACGGCACCACCTGCCTGGAGTGTGTATGTTCTCCCTGTGCCAGCATGGGTTTCCTCTGAGTACTCCTCTGGTTTCCTCCCACACTCCAAAGACATGCTGGAAGGTTAATTGGCTCCTGTCTAAATTGTCCCTAGTATGTGTATGTATGAATGTGAGTTAGGGACCTTAGATTGTACACCCCTTGAGGGTTAGGGACTGATGTGAATGTACAATATATATGTAAAGCACTGCGTAAATTGACGGCGCTATATAAGTAACTGAAATAAAATAATATACAGTATAGACATCACCAAAGGCTATATAGACTTTCAGACTTCACTGACACATACAATAGGAGATGATCAGAGAGTGTAGACATGCTGTAGGAGATGGTCAGAGAGCAGGGGGAACTGACCATTTGGAAACTCGGGCACTGCCGAGGGCCCGGGGTCAGTAGGGGGCCCCATGAGATGCCCCTGGTACCTTTTTCATAGGCTTTTTTGAGCTTGGGCAAGGACACACAAAAATGAAAAAAGAAATGTTATTGGTTATAAACTAATTTGGGTTATTTATTTTATTACTAAAAAGATAACTGAATACAATTTGGCCAAGATGTACGAAGAAAGATTATTTATTTGCAAAATTTTATAAGAAAAACACTTTTTTTTTTTCATTTTTTTCATTTATATAGCAAAAAAAATAAAAAAATCCCAGTGGTGAATAAATCCCACCAAAATAAAGTTTTACCTGTCTCAAAAAAAAATGGTAAAAAAAAAATCATATGGGTACAGTGTTGCATGACCGGGCAATTGTCATTCAAAGTGTGATAGCGTTGAAAGTTGAAAATTGGCCTGGACAGGAAGGGGGTGAAAGTGTCCAGACAGGAAGTGGTTAATAAAAAAAAAAAAATAATTAAAAAACATAAATTGTGTTTCAAGTAATCTTTAATAAAAAAAAAAAAAAAGAAACTCAGTACAGCAACTCATTGATACTGCCTAGTAGTTTCCTCTCAGGGGCGGACTGACCATTTGGAAACTCGGGCACTGCCCGAGGGTCCGGGGTCAGTAGGGGGCCCCATGAGATGCCCCTGGTACCTTTTATGAGTTTGGGCAAGGACACAGGGGCCCCATGATCCCCTATTGCCCGGGGGTCCCATGAGTTGTCAGTCTGCCCCGTCAGAGAGTGTAGACATGCTGTAGAAGATGGTCAGAGAGTAGGCTCACGCTGCATTCAAAATGCACTGCGATTGCGATCCGCAGTGGGTGTCAATATTAGGTTGATGACACCCCAAACGCAGATCACAAAAGCAATGTGTTTCCAAAAGTAGTGAAAGCATTACTTTGGTGCTGTGCGATTTCAGCCCCTTCAAAATGAATAGGCTGAAATCACACCACAGAGAACTGCATTGGAATCGCAGAGGAACGCAATGTGCATTCTTTTGTGATTTCCAGTGTGATCTGAACTTAAAGTCGCTTTAGCAAGGACGTTCAGGCGCATTTAGGTGTGTCAGGCGCTTGGGAGTCCAGTAATTCCATTGACCAAAATATGAATTTATTTTGGCCTTTGGAATGAATGAACGCCCAAGAGCGTGACACGCCAAGCACTGAAGCATGTTACATGTGTTTAGGTACATCAGTGTTTTTTTGGCTCTTGGGTTTTTTCTCTGCCTCTAAACGCCTGTAGACTCCTGTGTCTGTATGAACAAATAGGATAGCATTGAAGGGCGTTTAGAGACAGAAAAGGAAAAAGCAAAATGCTTCTAAAAGCTGTGTTTTTAATTCCTTGTCTGCATGGGGCCTAAGGATTATTACTATTATACAGGATTTATATAGCGCCAACAGTTTACGCAGCACTTTACAACGTAAGGACAGACAGTACAATTACAATACAAATTAATACAGGAGGATTCAGAGGGCCCTGCTCCTTACAATCTAAGAGGGAGGGTCGAGAGATGCAAAAGGTAATAACTGTGGGGGGTGGACTGATGGACAAAATACATGTACGGTTCTTAGGTGGGGGCAGGATGGGCCTCTCTGAAGAGATGAGTTTTCAGGGATCATCTAAAAGTGGAAAGAGATGGAGATAGTTGAACACATGGGGGAAGGGAGTTCCAGAGGATGGGAGTGGCTCTGGAGAAATCCTGGAGGCGAGCATGCAAAGAGGTGACAAGGGAGCTAGAGAGTAGGTCTTGGGAGAAGCGAAGAGAACGATTTGGTTGATATTTTGAGACCAGGTTAGCGATGTAACTAGGGGCTGAGTTGTGGATGGCTTTATAAGTTGTTGTAAGTATCTTGAATTTTATTCATAGGGTAAACCAAAGCCAGTGGAGGGATTGACAGAGAGGGGTGGAGGACACTGAATGGAGGCCAGTGGAGGGATTGGCCGAGAGGGGTGAGGACACTGAATGGAGACCAGTGGAGGGATTGGCAAAGTTGGGTGGAGGACACTGAGTGGAAGCCAGTGGAGGGATTGGCAGAGAGGGGTGGAGGACACTGAATGGAGGCCAGTGAACGGATTGGAAGAGAGGGGTGGAGGACACTGAGGGGAGGCCAGTGGAGGGATTGGCAGAGAGCGGTGGAGGACACTGAGTGGAGGCCAGTGGAGGGATTGGCAGAGAGGGATGGAGGACACTGAGTGGAGGCCAGTGGAGGGATTGGCAGAGAGGGATGGAGGACACTGAGTGGGGCCAGTGGAGGGATTGGCAGAGAAGGATGGAGGACACTGAGTGGAGGCCAGTGGAGGGATTGGCAGAGAGGAATGGAGGACACTGAGAGGAGGCCAGTGGAGGGATTGGCAGAGAGCGGTGGAGGACACTGAATGGAGGCCAGTGGACGGATTGGAAGAGAGGGATGGAGGACACTGAGTGGAGGCCAGTGGAGGGATTGGCAGAGATGGGTGGAGGACACTGAGTGGAAGCCAGTGGAGGGATTGGCAAAGAGGGATGGAGGACACTGAGTGGAGGCCAGTGAAGGGATTGGAGGAGAGGGGTGAAGGACACTGAGTGGAGTCCAGTGGAGGGATTGGCAGAGAGGGGTGGAGGACACTGAATGGAGGCCAGTGGACAGATTGGAAGAGAGAGATGGAGGACACTGAGTAGAGGCCAGTGGAGGGATTGGCAGAGAGGGGTGGAGGACACTGAGTGGAGGCCTGTGGAGGGATTGGCAGAGAGGTATGGAGGACACTGAGTGGAGGCCAGTGGAGGGATTGGCAGAGAGGGATGGAGGACACTGAGTGGAGGCCTGTGGAGGGATTGGCAGAGAGGGATGGAGGACACTGAGTGGAGGCCAGTGGAGGGATTGGCAGAGAGGGATGGAGGACACTGAGTGGAGGCCAGTGGAGGGATTGGCAGAGAGGGATGGAGGACACTGAGTGGAGGCCAGTGGAGGGATTGGCAGAGATGGGTGGAGGAATTGGCAGAGAGGGATGGAGGACACTGAGTGGAGGGCCCAGTGGAGGGATTGGAGGAGAGGGGTGAAGGACACTGAGTGGAGTCCAGTGGAGGGATTGGCAGAGAGGGGTGGAGGACACTGAATGGAGGCCAGTGGACAGATTGGAAGAGAGGGATGGAGGACACTGAGTGGAGGCCAGTGGAGGGTTTGGCAGAGAGAGGGGTGGAGGACACTGAATGGAGGCCAGTGGACGGATTGGAAGAGAGAGACAGAGGACACTGAGTGGAGGCCAGTGGAGGGTTTGGCAGAGAGAGGGGTGGAGGACACTGAATGGAGGCCAGTGGACAGATTAGAAGAGAGGGACAGAGGACACTGAATGGAGACCAGTGGATGGATTGGCAGAGAGGGGTGGAGGACACTGAGTGGAGGCCTGTGGAGGGATTGGCAGAGAGGTATGGAGGACACTGAGTGGAGGCCAGTGGAGGGATTGGCAGAGAGGGATGGAGGACACTGAGTGGAGGCCTGTGGAGGGATTGGCAGAGAGGGATGGAGGACACTGAGTGGAGGCCAGTGGAGGGATTGGCAGAGAGGGATGGAGGACATTGAGTGGAGGCCAGTGGAGGGATTGGCAGAGAGGGATGGAGGACACTGAGTGGAGGCCAGTGGAGGGATTGGCAGAGAGGGATGGAGGACACTGAGTGGAGGCCAGTGGAGGGATTGGCTGAGAGGGGTAGCAGACACTGAACGGTTGGTAAGGTAGCTGAGTCTGGCAGCAGCATTCATGATGGACTGGAGGGGGGGGGCAGCCGATGCAAAAGGCTATAATGTCTAATGCAGGGAATGCCTGTAATCTGAGGTCAGGCTCTGTGCAGATTTCAGTGATTCAATAAAGGAATTTAAGGGAGTTCTGTATGCAAAATAATCTCACTATGACATTAAATGACACCGTGTTTTTTTTAATAACAATTCTATATATCAATGTTTTATAGGAACTGGAGTTTTCTCACAAAAGTCCCAGCATATTTTAACATTTGAGTGTGTTACTGATGTGTTTTTTTTTACCCTTTTCTATAACATTTCCCAATGCTGCATCTCAGGGTTCATATTGATATAGAAATGATTATTCATTTTTCATTAAAAATAAACACGCGCAGCCCAAAGTAATTAAATTCCAGTTCAGGCCAGCTGCAGATTAACATAGCAATTACTTCAGAACACATTATCTCTGCCTGTTTTCACATTATTAAAATTAATCAGCGCATTAAGAGGGAGAACCCCGGCTTGTCGCCGACATACTTGCTAAGCGCGTCGGCGTTTATTTGCATATAAAGGAATTTGTACATCACACGGGTGCAGGGAGCACGGCGAAGTTCACTTGAAACACATAATAAGGATTTCATGATATGGATATGGTTAATGTCAACTTCGGCTCTGATACGGGGTTGTCGGTGTGTGTTGGGTGACAAGCAATTACCAGCGTGATTTGAGACGTACTAAACTCCCTCTGTTCTGGAACAATAATACTGTTTTTTTTTCTTACTGACACTAATCAGAAAAAGAAGTTATTATTTTCTTTTAAAGTGGACCTGTCATTAAAATTACTACTTAAATCAATCTGGCACGGAAAAGTCTTGCCATATCACATTGTGATTGTGAATGGAAAACATAGCTTTGGCTTGCCTTGCCCTGCCTTGTCTTGCCTTGAGCTGCATTTCATTGCCCTGCACTGCCTTGCTTTACTTTGCCTTGCCTTGGGCTGCCTTGCCTTGCTCTGCCTTGTCTTTTCCTGCCCTGCCTCCTTGCCTTGCTTTGCCTTGCCTTGCCCTGCTTTGCACTGCCTTGCCTTGCCCTGCACTGCACTGCACTGCCTTGCCCTGCACTGCCTTGCCTTGTCCTGCACTGCCTTGCCTTGCCTTGTCCTTCCCTGCCTTGCCTTGCACTGCACTTCCTTGCCTTGTCCTTCCCTGCCGTGCCTTGCCCCGCACTGCCTTGCCTTGCCTTGTCCCTCCCTGCCTTGCCTTGCCTTGTCCCTCCCTGCCTTGCCTTGTCCTTTCCTGCCTTGCCTTGCACTGCACTGCCTTGCCCTGCCCTGCCGTGCTTTGCCCTGCCTTACCTTGCCTTGCCCTTTCTTGCCTCGCCTTTCCCTGTCTTGTATTTCCTTGCCCTGCCCTGCCCTGCCTTGTCTTGCCCTGCACTGCCTTGCCTTGTCTGCACTGCCTTGCCTTGTCCTTCCCTGCCTTGCACTGCCCTGTTTTGCTTTGCCCTGCCTTACCTTGCCTTGCCTTGCTTTGCGTTGCCGTTTCTTGCCTTGTCTTGCCCTGCCTTGCCTTGTCTTACTTTGCTCTGCCCTGCTTTGCCTAGTCCTACCTTGCCTTGCCAGAGTTCCCTCGTATGATCTGAAACCAAGGCAGCCTTATCACATTGTTTCCCATAAACAAAAGCATTGTGGGTGTTTCACATCATTAAAGATTGCAGGAAGTCTTGTTTTTTTTTTTGCCATCAGACAGAACCTGTCTGGAAGGCATTGCGGTAAGAGTTACAGCAAGGCACAACAGAAGAAGAGGCTGTATATGCAATAAACTAATATGACTGTCTCCAAGTACACTATTTATTATAATTTACTGTATACCTACAATCAATCAACCTAGAATGAATATTTTCATTACATTAACTCTTGTTAAATGATGGCAAACTTTGTTACCCTAAATTTTCTGTAGGTGACATTTTAAAAGCCCCTGCAAGTAATCACTTTAGAGTTATCTGTGAATAGTGACCTTAGGATTGTTGCTTTCACACAGGCGTAGGTGGCGATATGTAACATGTCTAGCACAAGCAATATTTACACAGGCGCATCCAACGGGTGTGTTTGAATTTGTATGTACATATACATGTGGTGGGTTGAGCTCAATTTTTTTTTTTTTTTTGGGGGGGGGGGGGGGTTGTGTGTGGGTGTAACTTTATTTTTTTAAACTTTTTTTTTTACTAAAAAATTATTTATATCACAAAAAGTCCCCTATGTCATAGTATCTTTTATGTGACAGGTTCTCTTTAATGAGACATCAGGGGCTTTTAAGACCCATGATGTGTTACTTGCCCTCTACTGAAGCTAATGGAGTGCAGATCATGCTCCAACCGCTTCTTCCCTGGCCATAGCGGCCAGGGAAAGGGACAGCAGGAACCCGAAGTAACATTACATACATTGCTTCTGGGATCTTTGCAACTAGGAGAGATCAGTGAACAGACTTTCTTTTGTCTACCTCCTCTCCACCCGGAGACACATGCAGGTTCTGGGCCCACAGATGGGATAGTGGAGGTTGTAAAGTACAGCGGCGGGATGTTTGGTGGTGTTGCGTGGGAGGGCACACTTCCATGGGTCAGAGAAAGCAATCAGGCGGTTTTACAGCCACCTGATTACTTTCAAAATGAAACTGACAATTGGTGTGTCTCGTACCTGGTTGGGGAGCCTGACGTGGAGAGGAGGCGTCCTCTTACTACTCCCGCTCTGAGCCCTTGACAGTGGAAACAGAGGGTGCAGAGCCAGGAGTGGCATGAGTGCCGGGTAGGTCTGGAGCTGGCGGCAGGTAGGTGAAGACCCAGGAGATCTGGATGTAGGCCAAGTGCGGATGCAGGAATGTAGGTGCAGCAGCAGGCAGGTATGGTGGCAATCAGGGTGCAGACTGGGACTAGACACGGGAGCGTGGATGCGGCAGCAGGCAGGTATGGCAGTGACCAGGATGCAGGCCAGGTGCAGGACCGTGGGTGCAGCAACAGGTAAGTATGACAGCCGTCAGGATACAAGCCAGGTGCAGATACAGGTAAGTAGGTGCAGCAGAGTCAGACAAGCCAGGTCAGGATCAAACGAGCAAATCAAGTACAAGGGAGCAGGCAAGCGGATAGTCAGGGACAGCCGGTGTCGGTGCAGGCGGAGTTCTTTCTTAGTCAGGTCAGATCAGGATACAGGGAACAGAATCAGGTAATGGAGTGCAGGACATTATAGACCAAAAGGCATTTATTACACTGTATTGCAGGTTTAAATAGCCCGCCTTGCAGTGATGTGTACGCTACTGCGCATGCGCGCAATTGCACGCTCCTGCACATGCATGCCCGCACGCTCCCGCGCATGCGCACTCGCACCGCCACGGCCCGAGGGGATCCGTCGCTGTCGCATGGCTACACAGCGACAGGATCCCTGACAGTGTGTGAAAGATATTTAAATTTCTGGGTGCTGTAGCAGCTGAGAAGTGTGTATATTTTTTGGGGGTGAAAGTGTTTGCATGCGTTTTGGGATTTTTTATTTTTGTGTATATTTAGGGATACCGTATTATTATATTTAAAGTGTGTATATTTGCAAATGTCTGCAAACAAAACTCTATATTTTTATCATGAATTGCTAGACAGGGTCAATTTTATTTTCCCCTAGGTACAAAACTCCCCACAACTGCACTGTCTGGCCAGTGCGGTGGCAGGGAGGAAATGCAGCAGCAGTGGCTATATGGACACTCTGGCCTCAGTGCGCTTCAACATTTGATGCATGCCCCAGATTCATGCACCTGTCTACAAAATGTATATGAATCTGTCCCCTGCACTGACATTTGTCATGTGGAGGCACATTGGAAGTTTGGTATTGGTAAATAATCAATGGAGCTAGTCATCCTTTGGATGGGCTAATACCCAATGAACATATAAGGGGGAAGGCCCTTGTTATAGGTCCAAGCTGCTGCCTCTCTGCTCATAAAATTTTGGGATGGGTATAGTGGAGCACCCAGTACAAAAGTCTATATCACTCGGGGGTCTATCTGAAATGTTTATTGAGCAAGAGCAACAGGTAAAGCAAGCACCTTTCAGGGAAAATTCCTCCCGCTCCTCAGGGCTGTCAAATCTCATTGCAATTTCAAACCAGGTTGTGCCAGGAGTTTGCAGTTGTAATATGGTTGGATAACTCTGAGGAGGGAGGAGGAATTTTTCGCAAAACTGTTGGATTTACCTGTTGCTCTTGATCAATAAACATTTCAGATAGATCCCTGAATCAAATGGAGTTTGTACTAGGCGCTTCTCTATAACCACCCTAATGAGTGTCTTAGACGTGTTTTATGAATTTCCCTAAATGCCGTCAAAAAACCCTTTACAGCATGATGTCAGGATCAGGATCCAAACTTAGAACCTCTGTGGTGTCTGGCTGTGGCTCTTCTCGCTGTGCCAACTGAGATGCTGGACAGCTCCCGAATTGATGTCGTGGACAACCTTGCTTTTTGTCTTGTTTCTGGTGAAACTTGAGCCCTTTGCTCTTCCCATTAACATCCAGATTTAAGCCATGTCTTTGTACTTCCTGTTGTCAGATTATTCTGCTCTCTCCAACTAGTATTTTGCTTCTTTTCCTTTTGCTGTCATCTGAAACCTTCACAACTAGGGGCGGACTGACAACTTATGGGGCCCCCCCGGGCAATAGGGGATCATGGGGCCCCTGTGTCCTTGCCCAAACTCAAAAAAAGCCTATGAAAAAGGTACCAGGGGCATCTCATGGGGCCCCCTACTGACCCCGGGCCCTCTGGCAGTGCCAGAGTTTCCAAATGGTCAGTCAGCCCCTGTTCACAACCATCTGTTACTAAGCTTTGGCTTGTTTCTTGACTACTCTTCTGCTTGACCCCAACTTGCAGTGATCTGTTACCGACCTTTGGCTTGCTTACTGACTACGCTTTTGCTTGACCCATACCTGCTACATGTTCCACCGGACTCTGGCTTTCTCACCTCCTGGTGGGGCGATCCTGAGGACCACGACCTAACACATGCATGTAGCGAAACCCATCTCCACCATCAGGAGATCTGGTGAGGACCAGTTAGTGCTTAGACCCCATGCCTTGGGTGAGCCCACATCATCCACCA